AATTATCTCTTCATATGTGGCATAAATTTTCAGAAGTTTATTCCTTTCGGTCTCACAAGATAAAAGTTTTCCACATAGGTCTTGCCTGTCATTAGAGATCTTGATGAAATCTTGTTTTGCTGTTGCAATCTCTCTCTTTAGCTTGACATTCTTGCTTTCACATGCTTTGAGCTTGAAAGTCAGTTTGTTATTGAACTTGGACAAGTTTAAAGATTCATTGTAAAGCTTTTCAGAAGCTTGTTGTAGCTCATCACCATCAATCTCATCATTGTCTTCCGAGGTTTCATCATCTTCTTTTTGCTTCTCTTTCTTTTTGATCTCATCCAGTCGAGCAACTAAAGTAGGAAAATGGATGGATGGTTGTGAAGATGACTCACCTCTTTCATGGACTTGACTAAGAATGTCCCACACATCATTGGCCATTGTGCAGTGAGCAATCCGTTGTTGTTCTTATATAGAAATTGCTTCACGGATGGTAGTCAGAACTCTATGATTGCTTGTATTGTCAGCACTTTCAACATTCTCTTCAATTGCTTGCCAACCTTTAGGGTCATGTGCTCTAAGAAACATCCTCATTCGGATCTTCCAAAATAAGTAATTACTCCAATCAAAGGTAGGAGCATGGTGTAGACTCTTACCACAAACAAACTCAACTGGCTTTGGAGGGGGTTGAGTTACAGTAGACCAGAATGCCATGTAAGTACTATCTCCGTCTTCACTGGATTCGGTTTCTTCAGGTTATTGCTTTGACCCGCTTTCATCATCCCAAGTCACTGTATGGACTTTCTTTTGGTTCTTTTTCGATGGGCATTCAAGAGAAATATGACCAAACCCTTGACATTCGTAACACTTGACACCTTGCCCTTTCACAATCTTCTTCTTAGTTTTTGGAGCAACTTTAGGTGAAAAAGTTTTGATTTTTTCATTACCCTTATCTCTTGAACTAGAGTCCTTGAAATTAGGCTTCTTTTTCTTTAATTTTTTTTGAACTATTTGGTAAACATCGCCGTCATTTCAGACTCTAGATCAAACTCAACCTCAGGGGTCTTAGCAGTCTCGTGAGCACTAGAAAAAGCCACACTATCTTTTTGTTTTTTCTTAGAAATCTGGTGGGCTTTATAAATCTACAAGTTTCCAACCAACTGATTAAGCTTTAGGTTCTCAACATCCTAAGCCTCCTCAATAGCTGACACTTTTGATTGGAACCTCTCGGATAAAGACCTCAAAATTTTTCCAACAACATTAGCTTTAGGGATTTTTTTCACTGAGTGTGAAATAGGAATTAATGATGTCACTAAGTTTAGTATAAAAATCATCAAACGTCTCATCATCGTGCATAAAAAGAGTTTCAAAAGAGAAGGTGAGACGTTGAAGTTTTGATCTTTTAACAGTAATAGTACCATCGTGAATAGTTTCAAGAATGTCGCAAGCCTCTTTTGCTACCTCACACGTGCAAATACAATGGAACTCTTCAAGTGTGACGGAGTAAAAGAAGGAATTGAGAGCTTTACTGTTCCAACTCGAGTTTTGATAATTGAATGAATCCCATTTATCAAGAGGTTAGGGGATATCAACACCATCAATGGTAACAACAGGTTCACTCCATCCATAGATCACACAGTGCCAAACTTTCTCATTAACAGATTTTAAAATGCCCTCATATGAGCTTTTCAATAAAAATAGTTTGTACCATCAAGTAACGGAGGTCTATAGGTCGAGTTACCTTCACGAATTGAATCCATATCATAAATCACACAAAATCACACTCCTATAGTTTTAATAAAAACAAAGAGTGACCCGCTTTGATACCAATTGAAAACCTAAGTGATTCGTGATTGGGATTAAGATTAATTGTACCAATTCCCAAATGATTAAAACTAACAATCTAAACTATCTAGCATGTACGAAAGTGATTTAGATTGTTACTTCAAAAATAATAAATCGACACAACTGATTTTTACATGAAAAAATCACAATTGGAGCACCTTCAATTGTGATTAAAAAACCACGGGCGAAACGGCACTAACCAATCCACTATGAAAGAAAGAAAGAAAGAATTACAAATATACCAAAACAAATTACCCAAACGCAATCAATTTTATCTTCAACAATCTGTATCTCTTTTACCACCGCCTTCACCTCTGAATTAATCAGCTTGATGTTGAATCCACAACATCCATGTCGAACCAACGACTGTGCATAGCTTCGAACTCCTTCGAATACTCCACGCTTGAATCTTTGGATTCCACCGAAGAAGAAGAACACTCTTGAAGTTGAACAATCAAACAACTCTTTGATATATGCTTGTCAAACCATGAGTTTAATACTCAATCAAATATCAAAGAAAACTAGCAAAATAGCCCTAAAAGAAAACCCTAGAACCCTCAAAGAAAATCTGGAAGCCATAACCTAAAAACAAATTGAACCACTGCTTTTGTAGTGAACAGATCCGCGATCCCCGCTCGAGCGCAAAACTTGCTCCTCGAGCGGTGTCACTAAAATGCGTGTGACTAAACAAGGTCTACGCTCGAGCACTGGAACTTACGCTCGAGCGTAAAAATACACCTCCTAGTAGTTTTGTAGACAAACCAAACTTTAGAGAGTATGAAAACTCCGCTCGAGCACAGCTTTTCCCGCTCGAGTGGGAAGGCCAAAAAATAAGGAAAAATTAAAACTCAATTAAATCAAACTTGTTCACGAAATTGGCAACAAGTAGGGACCTAACACATGGATTCTGTTCTTGCTACGCCATCATCACAGAGTTCTTTATCTTCGCAACCCTCTAGTTTATGCAGTTATTGTTGCGATTGTGGCTACCAGCTAATCATTCTTTTGTTCAGTGCCAGGTTCGCAAATGCTTGACTTGCCACAAGACTACTCTAGGTCATCTCCAAAGCAATTGTCCTTGAGTCCCCCTTTACTATATATAATGTAATGACGTGAACATTCACATCATCTATATACTGTGTTAGTTTAATAGTTGTAATATGATATTATTTTGTATTTTATCGGTTATTTCCCTACCTTTTTGGTTGTTGTCATTGTTGGTGCTGTTGATGCTGATCAAATTATTTGAACTACCAAAATTTTGTTCATTTTCCAAACACATGAACTAGTGACATGATATATAGTCAATGTCAATGTTGACACCACGTATTTAACTTTTGTTGCTTTGTCTTGTATTGTATTGTGTTCATGTTAATTTTTACATCATGGTTTTGCTCAATGCAACCATGCTCACATCATTCCACTATTCACAACACATATAGTTTACACTTGTTATCATTTACTAGGGCTGCACAGCGGATCCACCGACCCGACACACCCGACCAACCCGACCCGACCCGACAAGCAACAGATGGATGCGTGCCACGTAGCGGGCGGGTGCGGGCCTAGTTTATGGCATTTTTTGGGTTCGGGTCAGGTGGCGGGTAATCAGCCATTTTAGTCAACAGCCCCGACCCGACCCGACCCATCATTGGTTATTTATTTATTTATTTTTGGCTGATATGCCTCATTTTGCCCCCTTTTCCTTTCTGATATGCCTCATCAGCTCATTTTGCCCTAATTTTTGACAGACAGACATTCTCTTTCTCTCTCTCTCTCTACCCTACCCATCGTCAGACGATCTACACGGCATGGCGATCGATCTACATGGCGTCGGCGATCGATTTACACTACTGATTGAGGTATATATATCTCTCTCTCTCTCTGCTTTCCTCTTCTTCTCTTTTCTTCTCTTCTTCTGAGTCTAATCTGTGTTTTTTTTTGTTCCAGTTCTAAAATGAAAGAGATGGTTAGATTGATCGATCTACTACACTGACTGTAATGTAACTAAGGTACCTCTCTCTCTCTCTCTCTTTCTTATTCTTCTTCTCTTCTTCTGAGTCTTAACTGGTTTTTTTTTTTTTGGTTCCAGTTCTAAACTTGAAGTTCTAAACAAAATAAATTATGAGTAGGTTTTGTGAATGATTTTATAAATTAGGCATATCAATAGGTTTTGTGAATTATTTTCTAAACGAAATAAATTATGAGTAGGTTTTGTTAATGGATAAATTATGAGTACAAAATCACAAAACCTGGTTCCAGTTCTAATCTTTTAGAGTCTAATCTATTATTATTATTTTCTTTTGTTCCAGTTCTAAAACTAGAGACGTGGTTAGATTGATTGACACAGTGTTAACTGTTAAGGGTTCTACAAACAGAGAAAGAAATACAGAAAGAAAACCACAGAGAGGTTTGGTTTATTTTTCTTGTTATATGCTTCTGCAATGGATTTTGTGAGGGACTTCATAGAATCTGTTTTGATTCAGAATCTGTTTTAATCTGTTCACAATCTGGAATTAATCTGTTCTGTTTTGAACAATCTGTTTTGTTATCAGATAACAAATTATGATTCACAATTATGAAGTTCAAATTATGATTCACAATATATAACAAGAAAACAGAACAGATAACAATCTGTTTTGATTCATTTTGCCCTAATTCACAATCTATTTTTCTTGTTATCTGATCTGTTCAAACTTTGATTCATAATTTGATTCACATTAAATTAGTGATCCTTCTTCAATCCTTTGATTCATAATTTGTTTAAAGATTAAACTTTGATTCATAATATATTAGTGAACATTAAACTTAGTTCTGTTCTGTAATTTAGTCAGTGAACTAATCTGTTCTGTAATTTAGTTTAATTTAGTCAGTGAACATTAAACTAATCAAACTGAACATTAGTCAATGAACATTAAACTTATTGTAATTCAATTTAATTTAGACAGTTTAAACTAATCTCATTAGTCAGTGAACATTAAACTTTGATTTATCTTACTTATTTTATCTTACTGATATGCCATTTCTAAATCTGTCCATTTAATATCCTTCGTTTATCTTCATATGCCATTTAACATGTTCAAACATAGACAAAGAGTCTGATGGTTATTTGTTTAAAAAGAGCATGGATTTGAAAAGCATATTTTGAATGGTTTTTTATTGGTTGTTGGCAGTTTATTTGATAATCTTTTGGTCATGGATCCTCCAAGTGAAGAAACTTTTTTTGTGAGTCCTAATGTTGAGCCCGAATCATCTTCTATTGGCCCATCTACCCAATCTAATGCTCCCCCTCGTAGACCACCCTTGGCCAAAACTAGTAGTAGCGGGAGAACAACATCAAAGGCTTGGGATCATTTTGAAAAGATTAAGGGTATTGATGGGAAAGATAGGGCTATGTGCAAGTATTGTAAGAAAGAATATATGGTAGGCTCTAAGAGTCACGAAACAAGTAATTTGTTAAGTCATTTGAAAAATTGTACAAAGTATCCATATAGGGACACTCATGGGTAACAAACATTGGGATTTCAACCTAGAGAAGTTGGTGGTGATGGTGAGAGTGTTGTTGATGTTGTGGTTATGCCATTTTCCATAGAAGTTGCTAGGAGGCATCTTGCCGGGATAATAGTAATTGATGAATTGCCCTTTAGATTTGTGGATGGGGTTGGTTTTAAGAGATTTTGTAATGTCATGCAACCCAAGTTCAAGATCCCATCTCGATATACTGTTGCTAGGGACATTGTAGACATATACACTAATGAAAGAGAGAGGTTGAAGAAAATTGTGAAGGGGCGTAGAATTTGCTTTACCACAGACACATGGACTTCCATACAAAATTTGTGTTATATGTGTCTTATTGCACATTTCATTGATGATGATTGGAAGTTACAAAAGAGAATCATAAATTTTTGCCAAGTTGAAGACCACAAAGGAGAAACACTTGGTAAAAAAATTGAGGCACTCTTAAAAGAGTGGGACATTGTTGGCCTTTTCAACTTAACTGTTGATAATGCGAGTTCCAATAATCTAACCATTAGATTCTTGAAACGAACCACAAAATTGTGGAAGAGAACTATCTTGGGCCATGAATTTTTACATATGCGTTGTTGTGCGCATATTCTAAATCTCATTGTTAGTGATGGATTGAAGGATCTTGAGTCTTGTATAGTGAATGTGAGGCATGCAGTGAGGTATGCGAGGTCTTCTCCAAACCGCATTGACTCTTTTAAGAAGTATGTGGAAAGTTTGAAAATTGAGAGTAAGAGTCTCTTGTGCCTAGATGTACCAACACGGTGGAATTCTACATATCTTATGTTGGACGCGGCAGAAAAATTTGAAAGTGCTTTTCAAAGAATAGGTGAGGAGGACTACAATTATAAACACTACTTTTTGGATAATGAAGGGGCTCAGAGGAGAGAGATGCCTACCGCCGAGGATTGGAATAATTGTAGGGTGTTTTTGAAATTTCTTAGAATGTTCTCCAATGCAACAAAGAGATTTTCTGGCTCTTTATTTGTTACTTCAAATACATTTTACACTGAAATTTTTGTCATTGAAAATATGATTAGACAATTAATCAAAGACAATGATCCTATTTTGTCTTCAATGGCAAAGAAAATGAAAGGGAAGTTTGACAAGTATTGGGGAAATGGGGATAAAATCAATCTCCTTTTGTACATTGCGGTTGTTCTTGACCCTCGAATAAAAATGACATACTTGCAATTTTATTTTTCAACAATTTTTGGTGGAGATGTTGTGAAAGTGAAAGAAATGTTAGAGAAGGTCAAAAATTGTTTGAGTAAATTGTATGATCATTATGCCGTGCTTGATTCAACAAATGTGCATGCCTCCAATGTAAATGAAACAATAGATATGGTGATAGATGAAAATGACCCACATTCTCTTGTGAACTCTCAATTTGACTCATTTTTGGAGGGGCAATTTTCTGGTAGTGGGAGTATGTCGGAATTGGACAAGTACTTGGGTGATATTGAGAAAGGTGGGAAGAATGCTCAATTTGACATCTTGGAGTGGTGGAAGGTTAATGCAACAAAGTATAGAATATTATCACTCATAGCACGAGATATGTTGGCAATGCCTGTTTCCACTGTTGTTTCTGAGTCGGCTTTTAGTACAAGAGGTCGTATACTTGATCCATTTCGGAGTTCACTTGCTCCAAAGATGGTGGAGGTTCTTGTTTATACACAAAATTGGCTCCGAAGTAACGTTCCAATATGCCTTCGAGAAGCAATGAATAATGTTGAAGAATTTGAACAACAATATGATTCGGGTAATACATTCAATAATTTATTTTGTTTTAAATTTCATTTATTTTGTATTATTCAAATTCATTATTTTCACTTCACATGATTTTCTTGTGTTATGTTTTATGTGTAGTTGTTTCAGAATCAAGTTCTTGTTCAAGCCTATGTTCAGAGAGTAATATTATTGAAATTTAATATCATTGGCAAAAAATACCTCCCCTTGGTTAAATGTTGTTAACATATGTTTACTTCTTTAAAGTTTAAAACTTTTTAGTGTTTTCCTTATTAAATAATTTTATTTTTTTGTTATGTAGGTTTAAATGGCTCATGGTTTGGTTGAAGGAAATGAACGACTTTTTTGCTTTTTTTTTTTTGGATGACTGTATCTGTAATCCTATGGTTTTAGTTTGGATGCACAATGTTTGTTAGATGTACAATGTTTTGGATGGCTGTAATGTAACTTGTTTGTTTTTTGAACTTTGCATGACTATAACTTGGATGCACAATGTTTGGATAACTGTAATGTAACTTGGTTTGGATGCTTAATTTTTCATACAATGTTTGAGGAAGTACACTGTTATGTTATGTTACTTACATAGATGTGAAAATTGCCCAGGTTTTGGATGATAAGTATTTTTTTTGGATGATGAAAATTGCTCAGTTACTTACACTATTATTCAAATCACATAGGCATATGAGTTTTTTTTTATGAACTTAAACAGACTAGTATGTTAAGTGCCCAAGTTATGTGTAAGTTTGCATTGCCCAGGTTTTGTGAAAATTGCCCAGGTTTTGTGAACATTCCAATACATTGTTATTCCAATACACTGTTATTCATTATTTTCATTGCCCAGGTTTTGTGAACATTCCAATACACTGTTATTCCAATACATTGTTAGTCATTATTTTCATTGTCGAGGTTTTGTGAACATTTCGATACACTGTTATTCATTATTTTCATTGCCTAGGTTTTGAAAATTGCCCAACCCATTTCTTTCTTTTATAACTAATCTTGTTAATAGATTAGATTCTTTTTTAACTAATCTTGATTCAACATGTTTCCAGTAAAATCTTTACTGGAAAGGAAAATATTATTAATTTCATTGTTTTTTTTTATGTGGAAAATTTGTAAAATTTTCAACCGCCAAACCGATTCGTATCTATCCGCCAATCCGCTAATCTGCATCCGCTGAATTGGCGGACGGATGCGGATTGATTTTCTCCAATCCGCCAATCTGGCGGACGAATGGCGGATTAGAGGTTCTGTGGCCGCAACCGATCTGCGCCCACCCCTATTATTTACCATTTGTGACAATTAACAGTAAATTCGTTTGTAATTGAACAAACATATGTTGCCCATAAATTTTATGGCAAAAGAAAGAGAGAACAATTCCACGTCAAAGACAAACCCGAACAAATAGCTAGCCCCTAAAAAGTGAACATGAAAAAAGGTCAAGTACTGATCTAACATTATTGGGTTAGTGAAATTGATAATGAGCACCAAGTTCTCGAATCCTCAGCTGGATTGTTTGAAGGAAACGCCATTTTGGCCATTGTTTAATGTGTTGAGAACCGAGTAAATGCATGAAGTTCAATGATGTTGTCGTACACGTGTTAAAGATGTACAAGGCATTCAAAGACACATTGTATATCGGTGAGAAAAAGGTGAATATAAACTTTACATCCTTTGCGATTTTGTAAATATTGGAATACGTTGGACAAAAGAACCATAATTAGTTATTTTGATTGTGCTTACTAAGATACAATGGTATGTTGTCATAATATTTGATACTACAAAGTCAATGTTAATATTCACATTGATTTTTGTTGTTTTATAATTGTGTACACATAACCATTGGCTTAATGTGACTAAACTAATTTATTTGATAGTTTATTCGTGATGTTAACATTCATATCAATAATCTGATTGCGCATAAACGCATATTTCAAGTTTGTACACACATAGAAATGATGGTTTGTGGTTAATGCAATGTTGATGTTGTAATATTTTTAGAGATTATAAAATCAACATGAATCTTCACATTGTTATTAGTTGCTTTACAATTCTATACGTATAATCATCGGCTTAATGTGATTTGTGGGCAATGTAATTTTAATGAGAACTTTAATATCATCTTCCATATTGGTAATTAACACTTTGAAACCATAGTGTCTTTATCTATATTCTAAAATTCATGTGAGCCTTCACATTTATATGTTTTAGTGTGAACATTCACATCATGTTCGCATTCAAAATAAAAGTTGAGCCTTGTGATTGTGTAATTTGATGTAATGCTTATGTGGACTTTAACATTGTCTTGTCACAGTGGTAATGAACACAATGAAAGTATATTCACTATTTAATATTGTATGGGTGTGTGAAAAAAATTAACACTGATCGACAACATAATGATAATTTTTCATTTCAAATTAATCTGAATATTAACACTGATTAATTATATGAGCATTTACATCGTTTGTATATCAGACACATTACCAATCTCAAAAAAATCATTGCTAAATTGAAATCTAATAATAAAAATCAAAATCAATGGTAACAACAAAATCAGAAATTCAACAATCTCAATCTCTAAAAAAATAAAAAAACCATCACCGCATCCTCCTCTGTATCTTCATATTCATCTTCATCATTATCACTATTATCAACACCTTCTGCAATTCCATCATTATGCCAATCCAAATCAAACCAAACTCACCTCATTTCTTTATAAAGAGAACCCCATTACTATACTAGAGACCTCACTCCCCACAATCCCAACACTCATTTCTCAGACTTCCAAACAATATGAAATGTGAACATTCACACTGATTGACAACATAAATGACAAATTAATGTGAATATTAACATTAGTTAATGATGTGATACTGTTAACAAAAAACCAGAAACAATGCAGCAATAAAATTAGAAATTTAAAAAATCTCAATCTCTCTAAATATAAAAAATCACCACCAACATCCTTATCTTTAACATTATCACTATCATCAACAACTCAAGCAATTCCATCATTTCACCAATTCAAATCAAAGCAAACCCACATTCGAATAACAAATTTGTAACAAAATTGACTGAATATAAACAATGTTTTGACCTACAACAATGGAGAAACACAGAGCTTTGAACAAAGAGTAACAATGGATGAATATAGAGTTTCGAACAGAAAGCAACAATGGAGGAACACAAAACTTTACCGTAACAATAGAGAAACACAATATTCTCTCGCCACCACATACTAGAGCTTCGAAACTCTACCAAACAGAGAATCAAAATGTATAAACCCAATCCCTACAATCACTACAAATGAAACCTTACCACAAACGAACCACTAATAAAACGTATCAAACTTAATCACAATCAAAATCGTGAATAACGAACACTACCGAAATAGGGGAGCAACAAAGAGGAAACATGTATCTCTTTTTCTGTGTAATACGTATCAACAAATAAATATGGGTATAATAGTCCAACAAAAAAATCCAAATCAAGAAGAAATGAACTCATGGAATAAAAATATAAATACATGAGACTAACTAAATTAATAAGAATATTTTGTGAACTTATTGGAATAAAACATCTTTAAAAGGGATTTATAAATAAATTTCCCTTAAGAAAGAGAGGGGAAGAGATAGGGTTGTTATCAATTATTTTTTTAATAAATTTTTTGTTGATTTTTTATTTGAAAAACTTCACTTTTATATCATACTATCCGGCTATGCTAGATTCTAAAAATCTAAAAGAATATTTTTTTTTATATGTCAACTAAATAAAAAGTTTAAAAAGTTTTTTTTTGGTTTAGTTTCTAAACTTTCTAAATCCTTCTAAGCTATAAGAATCAATAAAAGTAAAATGATTAAAAAAAGAGTAAATTACGGGATCTCTCTTGGTTTGAAAAATTATAAATATCTCTTTGTTAGAATTTTTTTATTTAACAAAATTAACTGAAAGAATGAAATTCCTATATGCTCTTTTATATAATGATAAAATTGTCTGAATTATTAATTAAAATAAATTTATGATATCATTAAAAATTGTTAAATGACTTGATAATTTATTAATAAAATAGGTAATTTGTTATGAAATTAAAAAATTTAAAGGATGTAATGTAATTTTTAGAAATACAAGGAATAAATTATATTTTAAGTAAATTGTAATTGGTGCATTTGTAATTTATTTAAAAGTAACTATTTAGCTATAGGAAAAGCAGCCGCCGTAACCAAACGAGAAGTGTTAATAGGGCTACTTTAATTAAGTAATTGGAAATGAAAGGCTTTGCATAGGTTTTGCGAGCTACTATTTCTACACGTCATTTTTTTGTGCACAACCCTCTTAATTTATACACCAAAAAAATTACGAAGTTTTAAGCGTGTTCACTCTACATTAGGGGGTGGGCATTTGTCGAGTCAGGTTGGGTTTGGGTTAGGCTAAGATTACATAATAAGAATTTTTGTATCTATCCAAACTCGGCCCAACCCTACTCTAACATCACCTTCTATATCTGCCTAAATCCGACTCAAAAAATGATTATAAATTCTAAACCCACCTATTGAGTTATATGTAAAAAAAAATAAAAAATTCAATAATTAAATTCAAACACGTTATATTTCTTAAATAAATATACTAATAGCATTATAAATTTAAGAATTTTGTGTACAAATTTAAGAATTTCTTATGTAAATTCAATCACACGTTACTAGAAATATGAGTTTCAATAAAATCAATAAAGATAAAGTCTATATCTCAAAAAAATAAAAATAAAAAATATATTATAATTAATTAAATTTAATAGCGGGCCAAGCCGGGTTGAAAGTACAAATCCCAAACCTAGTCCATTAATATATCGGGCTGAAAATGTTGGTCTAACTTGACCTTATAAGCTAAAATAATCTTTTTAAATCCTAAAAAAATTAGATTGGACTGGATAGACCACCAGCCCAATGCGCACCCTTACTCTACACACATCGTATTTCAAATATACCCCATCCACACCACATATAAAATTGTACACGT